CTGCAGTATAGTGGCACAAGTAATAAATATCGAATCCACGGGTCTCTAGAGTTACTATTGCTCAGCTTCAGTTCATTATCTAGCAAACTAGATTAAGGATTGATTAACTAAACTACTCTACTAACTAAACTAAGTAAAACTACTAATTACAGTTTGGGAACTCGCTTAGGTATGATTCCCCCTAGCTCCTCAATTAGGTCCAAGTTGTAACTCCTTTTGGTTGTTTTACTGTTGATTAAACTGCGGAAGATCCGACAGTAGCTTGGAATCTCTTAACCTGACCAAGCCCTCTCAGTCTAACTATCCGGCAGACGACTAGTCTTCACCGGGATAGAAAGCTGAAGCAATAAGCACAGAACTCCACTACTGAAATTGGATTCCAGTACAAAGCAGTAAACTGGCTAACTCTCGTATAGCCAATCTCCTACTACCGAATGATGAGGCTCTAACAACATAATCAGATTCTATCTATCTCAGGTTGCAGCAGAAATCAGGAAAAGTTGATCAGACTTCAGTTGACTCAATAAACATGCATCATTCGATTATAATCAAACAGTAATAGCATCCAAAACTTCATACAAGAAAGATCCTAACTCATGGAACTAGGGTTCCTCAAAACCTAAGTGAAGGGAAGTTACTCCATAGAGAAGAGAGACCGTGCAGCTCACCCAGTTGCCCGTGCGAGTCAAAACGCAGCGTATCGATTAGTTGAATTTCAGGCTTCTTACACGGCCAGGGTCGCACGGCCGTGCAGCTCACCTTGCACGGCCGTGCAGCTCATCTTGCACGGCCGTGTGGATTTTCTGCTCTGCCCGTGTTTGCTCTCGCACAATCCCACACGGCCAAACTGGTCACTTGCACGGCCGTGTGGGTTGTGGGTGTGCCCATGCGACTTCCTTTGTGACTTGCCTCGCGCCCGATCTTGGCCCAATCGACCCCGAACTCGCTCCTAAACCTTCATTCACTTGCCAGGACCTGAAATATCACAAACAAGCACAACCTAGCGTGAAATCGGTCTAAAACACGAGAAACCACATCTCAAACGGTGTAAGAACAGGGGTGAAAACATGTGTACTTAACATGCTTCAAACATATGCATGACAATAGTTTACTTAACACATGTGAATTAACATATTCTCAAATCCTCCCACGCTAATGAAATTAAATATAAATTCCGCAAATCGTCAAAAAACAATCACAAGAGTAATACTAATACAAGAAACACTTGATATTTGATTACCCTTAAACTCCAAACATGTCATTCAAATCCTTGTGATTTTTTTTAAACATCTCGCCAATTTATGAGTGATTTTATCATATTTTGGGAGTAATATATTAAATGGAATGGGTCTAACGGGTCGACCCGCTAACCCACCCAATCCGACCCAAAAATCCACGGGTTATCGGGTTCGGGTCATTCGGATTTCGGGTTACAAAAAATTCTATTTTTCGGGCGGTTTCGGGTTGGGTCAACGAGTCGGGTTATAATTTGCCCGGTCTATGTGTCAGTTCGTGAATGATTGTCTAGTAGAATATACCGAGACAAATTTGTTGAGCACTGTAGACACCAAGTGTATTTTACAATTTCTTAGAATATGAAAATACATCATATATTTTTTTAACTTGTACGAGTTGGGTATTTTTCTTATTTAAGAATTATTAAAATTTATTTTTATTTTACTTGATTTTTTTAAAGAGGACACCCCTTTATAAAGTTCATAGGTCCGCCACTGGTAGCAGCAGAGCCGCAGAGTTCATCGCAAAAAGGTTATTTGATATTGTGGTTAATAAATCATCGCCAGGAGTTCGCCAATGTTGGATTTGTTTGTAGATACATGAAGATAGTGTCGTTATCAGCCTGCCACTGTAGATCGATAACGCAAAATGAAGAAGGCGAACCCACGCGATGAGAAGGGGATGATCGGACGGAGAGCATACGCAAAGAGAAATCTTGAGTAATCTTATCTTAATATAGATGAGAACATGCAGAAGTGAATTTGGGTTCGGGTAGTTATTCCCCTCTCTTTCTTCTCTCTAGCTTGGACGATCTATTGATGCCCAGCAGGTGGAAACCACCGTCTGTCATTTGTTTGATGATTCTCCTGATGTCACAATGGGCTAAAATAAAATGCAGGCCAGACAAGTATTGTACTATTGTGACATGCCGGATGGGCTTTAATAATGGGCCTAACCTAAGGGTGAATGAGGAGGATGGAAACCGTGTATAGCTTTTGGGCGGGAAGTGGGAAAATTAAGGGAATAAAAGGACGGTATTACCCCTGGCAAAAATTCGGGAGAGTAGCATTTTTTGAATGGAGAAAAGGTTGTAAAACTCCAGTATTAATATGTAGACTAACATGGTCGGCCTTCTTTAAATATGTGTACTTGTTAGTACCGTAACAACAAGAAATAGGGTTATCGAATCTGGAGCTGAGTCGTGGACTAGGTCGCTTTAAGACGTTCACAACACTGTCTTCATTGCGCTCGACAGACTATCAACCGCTCGTCTCAAGGATAAAACAACTCATCTTGTGCTTGGCGGTTTGTGCGAAAACTGGAGCTCTATGAACACAATCTCTTTCTCTCTCTCTCTCTCTCTCTCTCTCTCTCTCTCTCTCGTGTTTCTGCTCAATTGTGGCAGGTTTAGAGGGGCTGGGAAGATGGCTAGTTATAGTAGCCGAGACCCCTAAGAGTATACCCTCTTACTTGGGGAATAAGTCAGATTAATTAGGAAGATAATTACTTCCTTAATTAAAATGCGTATTTAAGATAGTTCCTGGCAGAATTATCTCTTTGAATATTCCTTGGAATGATTATCTTCGTATCTGTTAAGGATACAAGATAACCAAGTAATAATTAATTAATAAATATGTTTGGAATTTCTATAAAAATATTAGTCTCACCCACCCACCCGCTCGGTCGGTCGGACAATGCGTGTGTGTGGTGGTTCATTAGGTCCTCCCACTCCTGTAAAAGTGGGTCACCGCAAGGGGCATGTCCCTAATAGAGAGAGGCTCATATTCTTATACACATATCATTAAGTGTAAAACTACTAATGTGGTAGTTTTTTGGGTTAATACCATATTCTGGCCCGAACTATAACCATATAACTAACTTTGGCCCGTGGTTTCAAAAATGAATATCCTGGCCTCAACTATGCATCATATACAGACCGTTTGGTACCAAATGAATCGAGAATTCATTTCATTGTAAAATGAATTACCATGTAGAATTCATTGTCAAATGAAATTTTGTGTTTGGTATGTCATATTCAAATCTTTAGAAATAAAATGAATTGTCATGTACAATTCATTGTCAAATGAACTCATGTGTTTTGTATGTCGTCTGTATAAGTAATTTAGTTAATAAAAGAGGATATTATATCCCCTCTGAGCAGTCCAGAAATCTCCACGAGGATAGTAGCGGCTCCTCATGACCTGGGCAACCAAGGAATCGGGCGACATCACCAATCTCCAGCATTGCTTTGTAAGTAAAGTATCATTGAACGGCCCGAGTCTTTTTCTCCTACCTGCCCCCTCAGAAGCCCTTTTCTTTCCGGCCTACCTGCCCCGCTACTTCTTCTTTTCCTACCTCCACTTAATGTCGTATATACTGCTATACAAAAAAGATCCTCTCCCTGTTGGTCGAGTATATTCACTCCTCTCACAAAGTTCATATCATTCTATTATAATTAGTAAATACTTGTGGAATTCATTTAGAAATTTCATCTCAATTCCTCGGAATTGCTATAACTAGTTCGAATTTCATAGAATTCAAAATTTAGAATTGAAAATGAATTCTTTTAAATACCAAACACAAAAGTGTTTCATTTTAAAATAAATTCTTCAAAACTTATGAAATTCATTTATACCAAACGGTATGATAGACTCAATTGGCCGAACGCATGGTTTGACCCTCTATTTGGACGGTCAACACCGTTGACCGTTAGTCAACTATCCATCATGTCAGCACCAAGAAAATAAAAAATTTGAATTACAATTTTCTTTATCTAATTACTAAATAATGAAAAAAAATAAAAACCTAAAATTAATTTGGCCACCCATCACCGGACACGATCTCCCGCCGGCGAGTTTAAACAATCTGAGCCCCAAATCTCGCTCTCCAATTTTGTGAAATACGGCCTCCTGAACACCGCAATCGTCGATTCCCTGTAGCCACACAAGTCAAGAACATCGCCTTCTCCAATTTCAAGCTCTCTGGGATGGAGGCAACAACTGGGGAATGGTCGGTGGTTGGTCAGAGAACAAGGCGTGTGTGGAGGGAAAACGCGACAATTGGGAATGAGCTAGTAGAGAGAGGGGGAAGTGGTGGGCTTGGAGCCATTGAAGGAAAGTACCAAGGAGAAACCAAGTCCTATTCCGAGTACTTGCAGGGATTATTATTAATGGAGGGAGGAACTTGAGGAAGGGGGAGATTGACTGGTCTAGCTGTCTATGGGGGGAGAATTCTTTTTGTTTTCTGATCTAAGTACAATGAAAACACATTATGAGAGCTTGAAATTGGAGAAGATCTTCCTGATGGAAGGGCCCAAAGGATGATTGTGGAGTTGGAAGCGTAGAGGAATAGAGGTAGGAATGGCAATGGGGCAGGTCCGGGGCGGGTATCTCGATACCCATACCCGCCCCATGGTAGGTCGCGTCCAGGTCGGGTAATTTATCACGGGGCGCGGATCGGGGCAGGTCGACCCATTGGGTATGTAATTTATGCGAAAAACATTAGAAACATTTGTTATTTTCATTAAAAGACCAAGAAAGAAACCATAATATGATAAAATGTAGTTAAATTATTGAAGAAATTGAGGTTTTTATTATGTAAATATGAATATATGGATGACCAATGGCCTACCATATTAGATGCTCGCTTGGGAGTTACATGTAACTCCCATTCCTATATTATTATCTCTAATTTATATGCATTGATGTAAGGGTGTAGTGGTTACCAAAGGGTGCCTATAAATAGAGCACACTATTGTATCACAAATGGAGTATGAATAAGAAGAACTATTCCCCTCACTTCTTTTGTGTCTTTCCTCCTCCAATCCTCTCTTGTAGTTGCTTACATTTCCATTAGTTTTATAACACGTTATCAGCACCAGACTCTTCCTTTTGAAAAGGTTAAATTCACAATTGTTCTGCTCAAGGTATGTCGATTCTCCCAAATTGTTTCTTTTATTGTCCTATTTCAATTTACATAATTTCATTTATTAATCAACACATGAAATCTTTGTTTGAGAATGCAAAGGTATAATTTCCTTCTTAATATTTTTTTTATTTTGAAATTCGAATTTATTTATATATTTGTAAAAATATCAAATTGATATATGATGGGTCACATAAGTCGTTTGTCTTGATAGTAATCTATATTTATTTATTGAATTTTGACTTTAATTTGTGTATATTTTTTTATGATAGTATGTCGAACCTTTCAAAGCTTGAGTTTGTGGCTCTTGATGTCACTGGAAAGAATTACCTATCATGGGTGCTAGATGCTGAAATTCATTTAGCTGCCAACGGTCTTGGAGATACGATTAAAGAGGGCAATGAAGCATCAGATCAAGACAAAGCTAAAGCAATGATCTTTCTTCGACATCACCTCCACGAGGGATTGAAGAATGAGTATCTTACGGTCAAAGATCCACTTATTTTGTGGACTAATTTGAAGGAGCGGTATGACCACCAAAAAACTGTGATTCTTCCTAAGGCTCGTTATGATTGGATGCATTTGAGGTTACAAGATTTTAAATCTGTGAGTGATTATAATTCGGAGCTATTCAAAATAACCTCACAACTACTGTTATGTGGAGAAAATATTACTGATGAAGATATGTTGGAAAAAACATTCTCCACTTTTCATGCATCCAATGTGCTCCTGCAGCAGCAATACCGTGAGAAAGGTTTCAAGAAATATTCTGAGCTGATTTCTTGTCTCCTTGTTGCTGAACAAAATAATGAGCTCCTAATGAAAAATCACCAATCTCGTCCTACTGGTGCCGCCCCATTCCCAGAAGCGAATGCGGCGACGTTCACCCAATATCCTTATGGGCAAATACATGGACGTGGACATGGACGAGGACGTGAGCGTGGTCATGCTCATGCTCGAGGTCGTGGCCGTGGCCGAGATCTTGGCCGTGGCAATGGTCGTGGTGAAAGTTCCAAAAGCTCATTTTTTCCCCAGAAGTGGAAAAAATGATGGTAGGAGAAGCAAGGAACAAAGTGTTCATGGTAACAAACACGTCGAAAATGTGTGTTACCGTTGTGGTGGAAAAGGTCATTGGTCTCGTACCTGTCGTACGCCAAAACACTTGGTTAACCTCTACCAAGAATCATTGAAAGGGAAGAAGATAGAAACCAATTGTATTTTTGAGGAAGATGATTCAGGAAAAGACTATAATTATGCTACTCATCTAGATGTGTCCGACTTCTTTGCCCACCCTGAAGGAAAAATAGATCACCTAATTGGTGATGGGAATGTTCGCAAGTGAAAAACTTAGCATTTCCATTTGAAATTTCTATTTCGTTGTCGCTTTGTTCACAAGTGAAAAGTTTGGGTTTCCCATTTGAAATTTCACTTTCTTTGTCGTTTTCCTTGAGTGTGTTTTTCTTATTAATGTGTCAGTTTAATATAATTTCTCTTTATAATCCTTATGTGGTTAAATTTCATCTATTATAATCATGTTATTATTTTTATATTTGTTTGGAGATATTTTCTTATATTGATTTACTTTCTATCTTTTGTGAAGAATGAATATTCCCATGCTTGGCACCAAGATAAAAAACCATGATGTGTGTCTTATTGATAGTGCATCGACACATACAATCTTGAAGGATAAGAAATATTTTTCTCATCTTGAAATGCGAGAAGCAAATGTTAGTACTATATCTGGAAGTACAAATCTAATTGAAGGCTCCGGAAGAGCTAGTGTATTGTTACCAGAAGGAACCAAGTTGTATATCAATGAAGCCTTATACTCTTCAAAGTCTCAAAGAAATTTATTGAGTTACAAAGATATTCGCCGAAATGGATATCATATTGAGACAAAGGAAGAAGAGAATAAAGAGTATATTATGATAACAAATATGGTCTCCGATAAAAAACACATATTGGAGAAATTGCCTGCTATTTCTTCTGGGTTGTACTACACGTTTATTAGTACAATTGAAACACATGCAGTGGTAAACCAGAATTTTACAAATCTTGATAATTTTATAGTTTGGCATGACCGGTTAGGCCATCCCGGATTGATTATGATGCGAAAAATCATTGCCAATACATGTGGACATCCATTGAAAGGTCACAAAATTTATCAGTTTAAAGATGTACCATGTGTTGCATGTTCTCGTGGCAAGTTGATTATACGGCCATCACCTGTGAAAGTAAGGAGTGAATCTCTCACATTTTTAGAACGTATACATGGTGATATATGCGGGCCAATTCACCCACCATGTGGACCATTTAGATATTTTATGGTTTTAGTTGATGCATCAACTAGATGGTCACATGTGTGCTTACTATCAACTCGCAACCTGGCGTTTGCTAGATTACTTGCCCAATTGATACGACTACGAGCACATTTTCCTGATTTTCCAATCAAGAAAATACGTCTAGATAATGCTGGTGAATTTACTTCACAAACTTTCAATGACTATTGTATGTCCACTGGCATTGATGTTGAACATCCTGTAGCACATGTTCATACACAAAATGGCCTTGCATAATCATTTATTAAGCGTTTGCAACTTATTGCAAGACCATTGCTTATGAAAACAAGCTTGCCAATTTCTTGTTGGGGACATGCTATATTGCATGCGGCAACATTAATTCGCATAAGACCAACAAGTTATCATGAAATTTCCCCCTTGCAAATGGTTTTTGGTCAGGAACCTAATATTTCCCATCTAAAAATATTTGGGTGTGCCGTCTACATCCCTATTGCTCCACCACAGCGTGTTAAGATGGGTCCTCAAAGGAGGTTGGGAATTTATGTTGGATATGAGTCCCCGTCAATCATAAAATACTTAGAACCCTTGACGGGATATTTATTCACTGCTCGTTTTGCTGATTGTCATTTTGACGAATCAGTTTTTCCAACATTAGGGGCTGAGAGCAAACAGCTGGGAAAAGATATTTGTTGGAATGAATTATCATTATCTCACCTTGATCCTCGTACTAGACAATGTGAACTGGAAGTTCAAAAGATAATTCATTTACAAGGTTTAGCAAACCAACTGCCGGATTCTTTTACTGACCAGAAGAGAGTGACAAAGTCACACATACCAGCTGTAAATGCTCCAGTGAAAGTTGATGTCCCTGTTGGACAATCTGAAATTGCAAATGAATCTAAACCACGAATGAAGCGTGGTAGACCAGTAGGTTCCAAGGATAAAAATCCTCGAAAAAGAAAAGGAGCTATGAATCAAGTTGGTCAAATCGAGGATATGAAAGGTCAAGAAAAGTCCCCAAGCATAACTAAGATTGTAGTTCCCGAAGAACATCAGGTACCTGAAAGTTTTGATAATGAAGAGATCTCAATCAATTATGTCTTGGATGGAAAATGTTGGAACCGAAGTAAAATAATCGTCGACGATGTTTTTGCTTACGCTGCAGCGTTGAGTGTGATGAATGAAAATGAGGATCATGAACCAAGATCTATTGATGAATGCAAGTCAAGAGATGATTGGCCAAAGTGGAAAGAGGCCATTGAGGCAGAATTAAACTCGCTTTCAAAGCGAAAGGTTTTTGGACCGGTAGTCCTTACACCAGAAAACGTAAAGCCAGTGGGATACAAATGGGTTTTTGTGCGGAAAAGAAATGAAAAGGGTGAAGTCGTGAGATAAAAAGCACGTCTTGTCGCACAAGGATTCTCACAGAGACCTGGCATTGATTATGAGGAGACATACTCCCCTGTGGTGGATGCAACTACGTTTCGATACTTGATTAGTCTAGCAGTTCGAGAAGGACTAGATCTGCGTCTAATGGATGTTGTGACAGCCTATTTGTATGGATCACTTGAGAATGATATATATATGAAACTCCCTGAAGGATTCACTTTGCCAGAAGCGAACAAAACACATTCTCGAGAAAATTTTTCTATCAAATTGAACAAATCCTTGTATGGATTGAAACAATCTGGACGAATGTGGTACAATCGTCTCAGTGAATATTTGATGAAAGAAGGATACACGAATGACCCTATTTGTCCATGTGTTTTTCTAAAGAGATCGGGTAGTGAGTTTGTTATAATATCAGTTTATGTTGATGACATAAACATCATTGGAACTCCCGAAGAGCTTCCAAAAGCAGTTGATTGCTTGAAGAAAGAGTTTGAAATGAAAGATTTAGGAAGAACAAAGTTTTGTCTTGGATTACAGATTGAACATTTGAAGGATGGTATTTTTGTGCATCAAGAAGGATATGTTGAAAAGGTGCTTAAGCGATTTTATATGGACAAATCACACCCGTTGAGTAATCCAATGATTTTAAGATCACTTGATGTGAAAAGAGATCCATTTAGACCTCGAGAAAGTGATGAAGATCTGCTTGGCCCTGAAGTGCCATATCTTAGTGCAATAGGAGCATTAATGTATCTAGCCAGTCACACACGACCCGATATATCGTTTGCTGTGAATATATTGGCAAGATATAGCTCTTCTCCCACTAAAAGACATTGGAATGGAGTTAAACATTTACTCCGTTACCTTCGAGGAACGACAGATATGGGCTTGTTCTATTCGAGTGCATCGAAGATGGATTTAGTGGGATATGCAGATGCAGGATATCTCTCAGATCCCCACAATGGTAGATCTCAGACAGGATATTTGTTCACTTGTGGTGGTACAGCTATTTCGTGGCGATCCACAAAACAAACTATAACAGCCACATCATCCAATCATGCTGAAATCCTAGCAATTCACGAGGCAAGTCGTGAATGTGTTTGGTTAAGATCTATAATTCGACACATCAGAGAATCGTGTGGACTATCTCTAGGAAAAATGATCCCGACGATCATGTATGAAGATAATGCAGCATGCATTGCTCAATTCAAGGAAGGATATATTAAAGGAGATAGAACAAAACATATTCCACCCAAGTTCTTTTTCACTCATGATCTTCAAAAGAGTGGTGAAATAATTGTTCAAAAAGTTCGTTCAAGTGAGAATCTAGCAGATTTATTCACCAAGTCACTCCCGACGACAATCTTTGTAAAGCTTGTTCGTGAAATTGGAGTTCGACGACTCAAAGACTTGAGCTGATGTGGTCATGAGGGGGAGCATATACGCGCTGCACTCTTTTTCCCTTAACCATGGTTTTTCCCACTGGGTTTTCCTGGTAAGGTTTTTAATGAGGCAGCATGAGATAGCGTAATAATGCAATCTAGTGGTCATCCAAGGGGGAGTATTATGTAAATATGAATATATGGATGACCAATGGCCTACCATATTAGATGCTCACTTGGGAGTTACATGTAACTCCCATTCCTATATTATTATCTCTAATTTATATGCATTGATGTAAGGGTGTAGTGGTTACCAAAGGGTGCCTATAAATAGAGCACACTATTGTATCACAAATGGAGTATGAATAAGAAGAACTATTCCCCTCACTTCTTTTGTGTCTTTCCTCCTCCAATCCTCTCTTGTAGTTGCTTACATTTCCATTAGTTTTATAACAGTTTTCACTTATTCACATTTTTATTATAGCTAAAATATAATGTAATAAGAGGAAAATCCTAAGTAATTTGACTAATATTATATGTAATATAGGTAGGGGTGGGCAACGGGACGGGATGGGATACCCGTCCCGTTTTAAACGGGTACCCAGTCCCATTTGGAGGCCAAAGTCCATCCCATATCCCAAACCCATATGGGAAACGGGTACCCATTACCCGTACGGGACGGATAACGGGTACCCATACTACCCATAAATACCCAAAGTTTAAACCACTCAAATTTTAACAAAAGTTTAAACTTAACTTGTACTTGCTTAACAATCACAAGACACAAATCATGAACAATCACAACGCATAGAAATAAATCATTCTAAGCACCAAAGTTATCAAATAAGAAGTTTCATTCAACACAAATCATGAACAATCACAACGATGTGCCTGCGAAAATTACGGTCACCAAACTTCTCCACCCAGACAAAGTCATCATACATTGAGTGGTATACAGGGTAACCTGCATGCATTCAGCTATTGTCAGCACTCAACAGGGTTAAAAGGAAAAATGTAACTGATAATTTCAATGTTAAGGAATCATACACCGCTGAGGTTCCTTAGCGATTGATGACTACTTTGAACTATGAAAATAATCTATGGTACTTCTTGGACAGGGATGAGTTTAGGTTGCATGTCACTGCAGAGTGCAGACTACAAGTATTATGTTCACATAGCGTTCTTTGTTTCTTTACTAAGAAAAGTTTCATCTTTGTGGCGAAGTGGACATTCCCTTTCTATGGATTAGAGTTCGCAAATGGGTAAAACGGGTACCCACATTACCCAAACGGGTATTTGCGGGTAACCCGCGGGTACCCATATTAGGAATGTACAATCCCAAGTCCCATCCGTTTATAATATTACGGGTAATATGGGTACCCGTAACCCTTAAAAAACGGGACGGGTACGGGTATACCCAAATAC